GTGTGTGTGTGTGTGTGTGTGTGTGTGTGTGTGTGTGTGTGTGTCTGAATAAACTGTTTTTATTTCCTGCAGGCTGCAGGCTGCAGGTGACGCACAGACTTTGTATCCAGGAGATGCAGAGTTTTAACTGCAGCACGAGCTGGATTTACAGAAACTGGATGTGGAGTTTAAAAGGACAGACTCACTGCTTAGAAACAAGATGGAAACAAGARCAAAACAAGTTATTTCATGTTCAAAAATGAGACGAACTGCAGCTGCTTCTGTCACCTGGAAGAAAAAGGATTAAAAAAAAAACACAAAGGGGAAAAAACAAGCTTTGCACATCTTTGTCTTTGAAAAACAAACTGCAGCTAAAGGTGTAAAAAAACAAACAAACAAACAAACAAACCGTGAACGGAGTTCAACACAACACTTTCATGTAAAAAATGTAATCCGATGATTTTCCTTCTTTTCTGACTCACTTCTGATTTTACAAACTTTACAAAGTCCTGAATTATTATTTATTGCACTTAGTTCAGATTTATCAGACTTGTTTATCTTATGAAGAGAAGACAAAAGAATATAAAATCCAACAAATCAGATGCTGTTTTAAAAGATATAATCATTCTAATTACAATATACTTACACAAATATTAACACATCATAAATATTGTATTTGTGCAACAAGTGTTAACATTGATAAACTGTGCAATCAATAATCACACTTATCTATTTACAGACGTGCATTTATAAACATATTTGTTGTCACACTGTTGTACATATATAATCATCATTATATTTATTTAACAGTTATTTTAACCTTATTATTTGCTGTTGCAGAGATATAGAATAACAATAAGTTGAAACTATGACACAACGATCACAGTATATTGTTACTATAACCGGGCAATAATTGTGATTTTGTAATATAACATCATATCCAATTAATACTGTCATCACATATTTGTCTGAGGTATATTTATAAATAAATGTGTATTTGAATATGAAACTGCAATCAGCTATAATTAAACAGTAATCCCAATTCAGACAAATAATCCCACAACAATCGTGATTATTGACCCCTGAAGNCACTTTCAATAAGAATAAACATTCAAACATAGAAAAGCAATAAGAATATTTTTATGATAATAAAGCATCTGTCCTGATGTTTCCAAACAGGAAACACTTGTTGGTTGTCAGCTGCAGGCAGTGGGGCAGCAGGAGGGACATTGTTGTGTTTTCAGTCAGATATTTGAGTWTTGGCGCCATCAGGGCGTCAGTTTTTTTTTTCCCTCATTCGGCCTTAAGATTGAATGAGTGATGAAAGGAGAGTAATGGGACTAATTAATAATGACCAACAGGTGATGAGTTTTAACTGATATCACTTTAAAGTCGTTCTAACGTCATTAAATGACGCTTTTATCTCAGTTTGGTTTCTTTAGGCCTGAAGTCCAGCAGCCTGCAAGTAGGGTGAAAAATAAAACAAGATTATTCACGCGTAAATATCCTGGTTTTTTTTAAAAAAAAAATTATTTTTGTGACTCGCGCCTCTCTGTGTTTTTCACGCCACCATCAGACGCCAAGGGCACCATCCGGGAGATCGTCCTGCCCAAGGGCCTGGACCTGGACCGGCCCAAGCGGACCCGGACCTCCTTCACGGCGGAGCAGCTGTACCGCCTCGAGCTGGAGTTCCAGCGGTGTCAGTACGTCGTGGGGCGCGAGCGCACCGAGCTGGCCCGGCAGCTCAACCTGTCAGAAACACAGGTGAGGAGGAGGGGGGCGCGGGGAGGCTATGGCAAGGCCACGTGTCATATAATAGTGAAGCAGRAGTTTCGGAAGGAAACGTGAAACTCCTCCTTGACTCGGTATTTTTGGTAATCTCACACATCATTATCAGACTAACGATGTCCTTTTATTAATAATTTGTGTTTTCAAAAACTTTGTTTGGATCTAAAAT